TTTTGACAATTTGTTCAGGAATGCAAGAAATTGTTTCTTTTCAACATTTGTACACAAATTTAAGCAATGATCACATTTTCGAAAAAATACCGTCGTCATAGAAAAACTTGGTAATTCAAACAATTAGTCTGAATTTCAAGAAATGTTTTTTTTAAACATACTATAATATTCCGCTCCACCCCAGCAGTTAATTCTTCAAAATTCATGTGTGATTAACTACATGCCTTCGATCATTCGTGACCATTTTTAAAAATTTGGGAACAGTTTTAATGATCGTGAACATTTTCTACTACTTACAAACATTATTTTAAAATTGTAAACATTTTTCTGTATTATTAACTGTTTTTAAGCATTTTCTATTGACTCGGCGAGCAATTCTAGAATAGACGATCAGTCTTTTTCGAAATTGTGGGATTTTGTTAAAAATTTCACACACATTTTTTGGAATACAAGAACATATTTTGAGTTAGCAAACATTTTATGAATCAATAAACTCTTGTAATTCACGAACTGTTTGAAACTTTTTAGGACATTTTTTTAATGCATTAAAAAAATTTAGCAATATTTTTTCCAATTTCATTAATCATTTTTAACCCACAGATTTTTTTAAAAAAATCATGGGCTTTTCTTTACAATTTTTCTCAAAATTGCAAACATTTTTTCAATATGCGAACATTTTTGGAAAAATCTCGAGGAATTTTTGAATTCACAAACATTTTATGTTTTTTTTAACATTTTATTTTCAAATTCTCTGTTTTCAAATTTTAAATAAAATGAAGTTAAAAATTACTTAAATTAGTAAAAATCAGAACAGAAAAATAAAATTAAAAACGAAACTAAAAAAACAGGCACACACATGGGCCGGGCCAAACGGGCGCGCAGTATCTTATCCGTCGCGCAGAGCGCAGTATATTTGGTACCTATGCTTGGGCCGGCCCAGGCAGGGATTCCTTGCAAAAAGGTTTTTTGTCATTTATAGGTGGCATTGGTGGGTAATATTGTGCAACTTTCAGGGTAACTTTAATGATCTGCTACCAGAAGCAATAGCTGCTTTATTATTAGGAAAAGAAAGATTATGTATAGATATAGACGAGAAACAAAAAGGAAGAAGAATAGAGAAAATATATAGTTTGGACCCTTCACGCTTGATCTCCATTACCTTCTTCGGCCCAGGGGATATAAGTTGGGCCTGGGCTAGCACCTCCAAGCAGTTCTTCTTTAAACTTCCACGTGAATTTTCAAAACAAAAAAGGTCAAGACCAAGATGTGTACAACAATTATTGGAGGGACGGACAAGGCCTAGGCACACTATCGAACAACAGCGCACTGCACGTGCATATGAGTTTTGCAGATTTCCAGAACGTGTATAACTCGCTCGTTGCGAACTGTACGACTCGCTCACCACTACGGCACCGGCGCATGGGCCAGACCCATAACATGGAGCACGTACAGTCTTCATTTGTCGTTTTTGTTCTTTCCTATTGTTTTGCTTTTACATAGACTATTTTATCGTTTAGCACAGTCAATGTGTGTGTCACTGAAATAATGCCAACATTTATTTTAAAGCTTATTTTTTGTTTTAAAAATGCAAATATATATTTCAGAAATTAATTTACATTAAATGTTCATGTAATGTAAAAAAATTGTTCTCGTAGTTCGTAAAACACATTTAGATCAGTAAAAAATTGTCCATCACACTAATTAAATGTTCACTTGTTACAACATATGTTCATGACATTTTTCTAAAGGTATATACATTGTAAAAAAAATTGTTACATAAGTTTGTAAAATGGTTTGTAGCATTCAAAGAGTTCTTGACATTTTATTAAAATGTTCGTGACACATCATAAATGTTTCACAAGTTTTTATAAAATGTTTGCGCTATTAAAGAAAAATGTTCAACGTAAATGGTAACATTTAGAATAGAAGTTACAGAAACAAAAATGCAAATAATATATTGATTAAAGAAAGACATTCAACCGAAAAGAAATCAAAAGAAAACTAAAAACATACAAGAAACCCGCAACGTTCTAGGTCAGTTAACAGTAAGAAGAGAAAAATTCAACGTATAGCAACCATGACAAGCGTTCCTATAGCGACTGAGCAAGCGTGCATGCTAACTAAGTACTCGTTTGATAGTTCAGCCATTTGTGGCGACTGCCGGCGGCAAGATCTATAACCGTCTCGGACGGGACGAGGTATAGCTGCAGCACAAGTGCAGCAGGTTTTGAAAAGGGACTCGGTCGTGATTTAGAACTTGTTATTAATATGAACCCTATTAAATAAGATTTTCTTATTTTTACCTGCTCTACCTTTTTCTGATCTAGCTCAGTTATTTCATCTCGTAGAATCAACATTTTATTTGGTAGGGTTTGTGCGAGGAGAAGCCAATGGGCCATGGTATAGCCCAAGTGTCCATGGAGAAGAGAATCATGTAATCCAATCGAATCTAGGCCGCAGAAACCCATAGACATGGGGGAGCTCCTATCGGTTCGCTATGTGCTGGCAATCAGCCAGGGCACACCCCCTTCCACCACCTGTCCCTTTTGTGCCGGCCCATGCGCGGGGCGGGACGCGTCCTGTTTTCCATTAGTTTTTTTTCTTTTGTATTTTCTTTTTTGTATTTGTTTTTCTCTTTAAAATAATATTGATTTGAAAAAATCCAAATTTCAAAAACATTGTGAATTTTGAAAAAAATGTTCAATAAATCAAAAAAATCCTTGAAATTTTCCCATAATTTTCAAAAAAAAATATTGATATATTTTTTGTGGTTTTGAAAAAATATTCACGAATTCAAAATGTTCATGAATTTTTAAAAATCACACAAAAATAAAAAACAATTGTGAATTACAATACATGTCCATCAATTCGAAAAATGTTCGTTGATTTTGAAAAAAAATCATGCATTTCACAAAAATGTTCATCAAACAAATAATGTCGATGAATTTCAAAAATTGTTCCCAAAGTTCAAAAACTGTTCGCCGATTCAAAATTGTTTGTCAATTAAAAAAAGTTGTTGAATTTGAAAAAGATGTTCGCAAAATTCAAAATGAAAAAAAGGAAGAAGAATGAAATGGAAAAGGAAAAGAAAAAACTAATAATAAAAATATTTAAAAAGAAAGGAAATGAGGAAATTGAGTAAAGCAGAGAAAAACTGAAAGGAGAAAAGAAAAAACAACTGGAAAGGAGATACTTGGGTCCGCTGAAAATGTGTACGTACTTAGCTGGAGGGGGTACGCGCCAGGTCCGGCTAACGCACCGACTCTTGCTTCGGAGCTGATAGACGCGACCTCCGCAACATGGGAAAGACGGAGGGTTCTAGCGACTTTTATGCCCATGAATGCGGAAGTTATACTTGATATTCCTTTGTGCATGAAGAATGTTGATGATTTCTGGAGTTGGGGTCATGAAAAGAACGGTATATTCTCCGTTAAATCTGCATATCGCATGCTTGTGAGTACACGACAGAGAAGAGAAGCGTGGCTAGAGAACAGGGCCGGCCCCTCCAGCTCAGCAATAGGAGAAGGGGAATGGAAAAGGCTATGGAAGACGGAAGTGCCAGGGAAGGTCCGTATATTCCTCTGAAGATTCTCAACACAATCCATACCAACCAACGATGTAAGAGCACACCGGCATATGTCAGATTCTATAGCATGTGGTATGTGCGGTTCTCCAGATTCATGGAGACATTCCCTCTTGGAATGTACTATGTCAAGATGTACTTGGGCTCTAGTGGATGACGAACTGGCGCAAACCCTAGCAACTATTACCGAACCAAATGCAAAACATTTGTTATTTACCCTCATGAGTTCATTATCGCATGAACTTTTTGTGAAGCTAGCGGTTACTCTGTGGTCTAATTGGGCAGCACGACGGAAAGCTATTCACGAGGGGTTATTCGAAAGCCCCAGACTATCAATGGATTCATCAACAGATATCTCCAGGAGCTAAATATGTTGTCTTCACCTACTCTGGCGTTGAACCAGCGAGCTGCTCCTACAACTAACGCAAGCGCCCAACGCCCAAAAGCACCGCCACAAGGCTATGCAAAAAATCATGTCGATGTTGCTTGTCGCAAGGGACTTGGGGCCTCTATGGCTGCTGTATGCAGAGATGCAGTGGCAACTTTTTTGGTAGCTCAGCCCTTGTCATCGGGGGAGTTGATGACCCTGATATTCTGGAAACCATAGCATGCAGGGAGGCGCTCGCGTTGGCACAAGGTCTTAACATCCACAATCTAGTTGTTGCATCAGATTCTAAGTGGGTAGTTGGAGCTATCAACAACTGGGCCCGGGGCACTAATGGCCCCATCATCACCGAGATCAATAGTGTAGATATTTCCTTTAATTGTATTTTTACTTTTGAAGGCCGTGCCGTTAATGTTGAGGCACATAGATTAGCCAAGTTCGCACTTTCATTAGGCATGGGATGTCACCCATGACCAGAGTTATATCCCACACACTGTGGTTTTTACTGAATAAAACTTGGTTTTACCGCTAAAGAAAAATTTGTGGTCAACGGTTTCCCGGACACCGGCCGGCCACAGCGTCGGGGGCCGAGCACACCTCCATACCGGCGGCTGTTGGGAGTCACCGAGCCTCTGAATCCTCTTCGATATCGTGACATTGCTCACTGCTGGTTCGCTGGCAAGTATTGATTCCTGACATTTCCTTACGCATTTGCTTGCACTGTATGTAAGATCAATTCCTCAACTGTAGATAGATTTTAGCCAGAAAAACAAGAGCTACAGACATCTCCACACAATAACTCCTGAAGGGGCGATCTTTAATTATTTATATAAGTATTACAGCACAAAACTACACTGCTCTACACATAGCAGGAAATGTACGTTTGAGAACCAGAATCAAAATCTAAAGCAGAAGCAGAATCTCTCCTTGTAAATGCGAGCAACCTTACATCAAATAGACTTAGACAGCTAGATACAGCAAACTGGGCGCGGTGTACCACGTGTGTACAGATAGGAAATGACCATGCTCATCCTAGGCATTTTCATGGTGAGCCGAACGAAGTTCAACAAGTGAAGAGTACACTCCATCTTTGATGTTCATCAGGGACTCGTGCCCCCCTTTCTCCACAATCGCACCATCCTTGAGGACTGCAATGATATCGGCGCCTTTGATTGTCGAGAGGCGGTGCGCCACGGCAACCGTGGTCCTGCCGACCATCACATGATCCAAGGCATGCTGCACGATCCGCTCAGATTCAGCATCCAAGGCGCTGGTCGCCTCGTCGAGCAGCAGTATCTTCGGGTCTTTCAGTATGGCCCTTGCGATAGCCACCCGCTGCTTCTGGCCACCAGATAGTTGTATCCCTCTCTCCCCAACAGAGGTTTCATATCCTTGAGGAAGGCTTGATATGAACTCGTGCGCATTGGATGCCTTCGCCGCTGCAATGACCTCCTCCTCACTGACTTCCCCGTCCTTTCCATAGGCTATGTTGGCACGGATTGTGTCATTGAACAGTACAGGCTCTTGGCTCACTAGTCCAGTTTGCTTCCTCAACCAATTGATGTTCAAGCTCTTGATTTCCACTCCATCCAATAAAATGGTACCTGAATCAGGATTGTAGAATCTCTCCAACAGAGAGATTACAGTTGACTTGCCACAACCACTCTCTCCAACGAGTGCAATAGTCTATATAGGACCATAACAAACATAAGACACCAAGTACATGATTGTAAAAGATATAATAATGTGATGAGTATACGAGAAGTAGGCTAACCTTTCCATAGGGAATGTGCAGGGTAAAGTTGTTAAATATCACAACATCTGGGCGAGTTGGGTAGTTGAAGCTGACATGTCGAAAATCGATGTTGCCCTTGAGCTCGTCTAAAGTCAAGCCCTCATTGCTACTTGAGTCGATTTCAGACTTCCGGTCCAGCAAAGCAAATACGGAGATAGCTGAATCCTTTGCTTTTTTTGAATCGGATGCCATTGCACTTGTTTGAGATACTCCCAAAGTTGCTAACATCAGTGCGAAGAAAACCTGCAAAGTATGCCTTACTATGTGAAATGACCTCATGAAAGTGGTTAATCATGGAGGGATTAAGATTAAAAAAATACTAAGAAGAGGATCCGCAACGAGAAACTTTACTGCTGAAATAGTGCATATGTGTACCTCAAAAACATCACCAAAATTTGATTTTCCATGGCGCACGAATTGCCCTCCAACATAGAAACAAAGAGCGTATGTAAGGTACAACATCAGGAATGAAAAACCAAATCCAATGTCCCCGGCTATTCCTGTTTTGAATCCTTGATTCTTTGAGGCTTCACATTTCTGCTCATATATTCTTGTAATTCTTTTTTCAGAACAAAAAGAAGCTACAGTCCTTATACTACTAACTGCATCTGTGGCCACTTGACTCGCATCTTCATTCATCATCTGATGGGAAATCCATTATCACAAACTCAAAAGGTGGTAAGAAAATGAAAAACAGTTACCTAAAGTGTCGATTCTTACTATGCTTGATGAAGTAAAAAAAATGACCGCACTTCGTAAATTTAATCAGATTGTTTTTGTTTTCTTTACTGTTATATAAATGGAGCTGCCTATAGTTCTTCCACCTATTCCTCTTTCCTTTTTCACCTTGGTAAAAATCTCTAACAAATAATTAATCACAACGAAGCTCCTCACATAAAAAAAATAAGTTCGCTGCCTCCTTCAAAATTTATACCGGATATAGATCATACCAGATGTGAGATAGAACAATGACAGTATGTGACTATGGTTGAGGACATGGTGTAATGTTTTAAGGAGAGCAAGAACACTACGTCGTGACACTGGCCAAGAAGGAACTCAGATGTACACAATAACGTGTGAGTTATATGAATATGGGCAAGCCGAGGACCCTGACTGAAAATAATCCATCAAAAGCATGGGTAATGAGCTAGTAGTTCTAGATTGACAGTACAAGCTATGCATGAACTGCATCATTACTCGCTCCGGATCCCCAAAAGTCATTTTTTGGAGCAAGTTTTGGAACATTGGCAACTAATATCTTTAAATTTATTTTAGCTAAATGATATGCATGTTTTTTCTTACAAGGAATTTCCAAAGTGTATAGTTTCTTCACTTTTTATGCCTATAATAGTGAAATTAGTGGTAAATTATGTATTTTGGATACAACGCCTATGCCCAAAGAAAAAATATATCTAACTATAGGGTGTAGCATCTAGTTTTAGGGCATTATTCTCAAAATGTCATATAACTTGAGGAACATCCCAACAACTTTGTTTAGTGAATTACCTTAGCATCTTGACTGAAATCATTCAAGAACTTCACATTGCTGACTGGAAGAATATGATAATCAAAGTGGAATCACACATATGATAATCAAAGCAAGCTTCCAGTCAGCAATGATAGCAATGACAACTCCGGTGACTAGATTTGAGATAATCTGAACCATTAAAGACAAGTTATCTCCCACTAAACGTCGACATTCGAAGAATCAATTGACAGTCTTGCACCAAGTGCTCCGCTGTAAGACATAATTTAGTGATTATGTATAGTGCCTCAGAGTAAAGTTCATATAATATATAGAAGAACAAACCAAGAGAAAATATGTAACACACCTGGAATTTCTCGGATCATCAAACCAAGCAACTTCTTGGTGCACAATGCTTTGAAATGACAAAGCTCGGATGCGTTTTATAAGCTTGCCACCAGCTAGTCCAAACAAAGAGAACTCTACTGGTATTGAGATTATTGATATGATACCCATGACAACACACATCAGACCCCAAAAACTAGTATCCTTTCTGAGTTTATCTGGTTGCTCATAGAAAGCTTTAATGGCACCCGAAAGTATTAAACCAAACACTGGGAAAAGCACTCCATGGACTGCTGCAGCTAGAGATCCTAACAGAAGAATAGGTACCTCTGGCTTGTTAAGAAGCGCTAGTTGTACCATAGGAGCTTTCTTTGGGACCTCACCATCACCATTCAGCTATTCCCGATTCTGCCCATGTGTTTCATTTCCTCCAGGAAATTCAATTGCGCTAGGTAGACCGAAGGGGAGCGTGAAAGAATGCCCACTACTATTGCCTATCGAACCACTAATCGACCGCTTCATTGACAAGCTTTTACTTTTAGACCTTGGAGTAGACAATCGGCGGTCTATTTTATGCTCTTTATGACTTTCTTGTAGCAGAACAAGTTGAGAGTACGCACCATCCAAGTTTAGCACCAATTCATCATGGGAACCTATATGCATGAAGTTGAAAAATCTAATTAAGATGTGAAAAATAGGTTATTGGTAAAAAAAATGGGAGGTAGAAATGAAATACTAACCTTGTTCAACTATCTTTCCTTGTTGAACAACTGATATGCAATCAGCATTTCTCACAGTAGTTAGACGATGTGCCACCACGAGCGTAGTTCTGTCCACCATGATTCTATCCAATGGCTCCTGAACTATCCTCTCTGACTCCACATCTAATGCGCTAGTAGCCTCATCTAACAAAAGTATTTTGGGGTTTTTAATGATTGCTCTCGCAATCGCAATTCTTTGTTTTTGCCCCCCTGAAAGTTGAGCACCACGTTGGCCAACCATTGTGTCATAACCCTGGTAGGAGATAAATGTAAATGTCAGCACTCAGCTCAAACGGAAGAAATCTGAATTACATGATGTTTTATCACACACATTGGGCAACTTATCGATGAAAATTGTTGCATTAGCGAGCTCAGCTGCTCTCTTGATCTCCTCAATTGTTGCATCTTCCTTGCCATATGTTATGTTGTCTTTAATTGAGGTCATAAATAGCACTGGCTCTTGGCTAACAAGACCAATTTTCCCTCTTATTGAATCAAGATGTAAACTCTTGATATTGATCCCGTCAATTAAAACCTCACCATCATGTGGATCATAGAATCTCTCTACAAGACTAACCACAGTTGACTTGCCGCTCCCACTCTCCCCAACTATAGCCATTGTAGTGCCACTAGGCACAAGAAGTGAGAAACCATCAAATATCAATTGCTCAGGCCTTGCTGGGTAGCTAAAATATACAACCTTCAACTCAACTTCTCCCCTCATATCTTCCAATTGCTTACCATTATTGTCATCAGGATCAATCTTTGGTTTTCTCCTTATTGTTGTGAACAGTCGGTGTGCTGCTGATTGTCCTTCTACAAAGGCAGTCATACATGGGGCTGCATTACCTAAAGTCCTGCAAAAAAGATTGATATCGCTTTCGGTAATGTGATATGGAAGATATGAATTCTAATTCAAGGTAAGAGTAAAGACTGACCCTGCCCCAATAGTGATAGCCAATATGACTGTGATGACTTGTCCTCCTGTGTATCCTTTTGTAAGAGCCAACTTTCCACCATACCAGATGGCTAAACCATAGCTAGAGAAGAGTGCAAAGAAAGCAGAGCCCATGCCAAAGCCATTAGTAAGTCCTTCCTCAACAGCAGTCTTGTATGATTTGTGTATTAGTTTATTGTACGTTGTGATGGCCTGCTTCTCCCCATTGAAAGAAACAACCTATTGACATATATAGCCATCATATAAATTAGACAGTGCACATAAACTCAATTATAATAGAATTATCAAAACTTGTTTCGTAAACTAAACTTACTGTTTTTATAGCGCCAATTGTCTGTTCGACAACATTACCTGCAGCACTGTATGATGCTTGACGTCTGCTTGATATTTTGGACAACAGTTTTGCAACTACTGCTCCAGTAAGTACAACTGGAGGTATGGATGCCAACATGACAAGAGATAGAAGCCATCCTTTCACGAAACCTACAATGAAACCACCAACGAAAGTAGCCACAAGTGATTGAAACTTGCCGACCTGAAGAGTTTAGAGTGCATGTCTATGTTAATTTCAATAAGATTAGGAATATAACGAATACAATTTTTTTCTTGCGTGTTATTCATTGTACTTGGAGAAATTCCTTACCTTCTCACCAATAGCATCCTGAACTAGGACAGTATCACCGGACATTCTCGAAACGATCTGCCCAGTTGTCATTTCTAGGTCAAAGAATGATATATCCTGTCTCAAGACAGATTTGAGGTATAGAGATCGAATGCGTGTCGCTTGCCTTTCACCGGTAAGTGTCCAACATGACACCTCTGCAAAGTCAACAAGTTGGCTTGGCATGATCAACACTAGATATTTGGTTTACATATGATCAAAATATTTATATTGAATGTGTTACATGAGAAAAAATGCCGCCATGATTTCAAATATAATTTCATTCCGTTGAAATACAAAACATGTAAACATTGTTTTTCCTATATGCAACAGGTTAGCTATCATCCCTGGATAAGAACTTTAGCAATCACGGCATGATGATACTAACTTGCATATTAAAAAAATAGCATGCATGTGCATTAACTGCCATCTTCTCAAACATGCCAACAACTAGCTAGTATCAAGGCAGGTGACACAAACACATATGTATAGGTGGACAAAGTGTACTCGTGCTCACGAAGAAAGGAGACGATTGTTGTTCCGATACCCAAGTAGACAAATTTTAGAACCACCTGCATAAAAACAAATGGCAATAAGATGAATAATGCATTCCTGTGTTTGCCATCTGACAACCATGTATATGTGCAAAGAAATAAATATTACTATTTATGTAGATAAGTGATGATATGTGGTTAAAAAGCTTCGAGCTGGCTAGAAATTCTTCCAGAACCGGAATTATAACCAATCCACGATGATCCCACATATGCATAGATCTTGTAGATGGATAAATGAATATAGAACTACAAATGAATATTACCCGTTAAGGTAACCTATCAGTGAAATTTTGAAATTCAAGCTCCAAATTTTATATATCCATGTAGAATGTAGAGGATGGAGCAAAATTGTGTGGATCAGTTAGTGTATTTCTTACAAGAGATTGTAGTGTTTTCTTCAAGCTGGAATTCATGGACAAAATTGATTAAGCAACAATCAATTATTTTTATCTAGCTGGCGATGGTAATCTGACAGTGTGAATCATCTCCAATGGTAAGCTGACAGCGTGAATCATCTCCACCCCCGACATGGTGAAGCGCACAAGTGGCAGCTAAGCCGGCAACTAGCAATTCTTCATTCGAACCACTAAAGTTTCAACTATAACTTTTACGAGTTGTTGGGCTACTGACCTCACAAACCAATTTCAAGGATTGACATTATGATGTACTATATCTTTATTTCAGGAAACTAGCATGTAGGCCTGTGATATGCATGATCAGTGCATTGTGACATCTATAAGGGGGAGGTGTCAAGGTGAAATGTACTCCAACCCCATCGCTTCATGGGGTAGGCACGTAGGTCTTTAAAAAAATTAGATATACTGGTAAGAACAGTTCTTTCAGATGTGCAAACTAAAGTCCGATATGTGATTCAGTTTCCCTTTGTAAGCGGCATCGC